GTACTTAAGGTGGAATTATGGCGGTACCCCACTCCTTGATCCTGCATTCGCCCACCTCAACACTACTTGACTGTGGTATTCCCAGCTATATCTTAGAAACATTACAAGAAGATAGGTCCTGTCCTAATTTCCGCGGTGACTAACGATAGCTCTTTTGGGATGATCAATTTTCGATCAACATAGATCTACATGCAGAACGCTTCCCGGTTCATAGGACTCATGCAGTCTCATAGAAGCCATATTTAATTCGTCTCTATTGATATACTCACAGAAATAGACACATGATCATCACTACCAACCAACCGAGATGGTGGCGAGCGGTCAATACAACTACGACAATTGGTCTTGATTCCACTTATTCATCAACGGAGGTCAAGCCTTCACAATAATTATATCTCTTCCTATGTTCTCTGTTTCGTTCGCATGTTCAATTGGAAATTCCAATGATGTGATACTATGACCTATGGCGCAAGATTCAACAATTCTTCGGTGGAGATGTACGCGATAAGTGATTTTCTTCTCTTTGTTTGCACTTGACTATATGATAGCTTTCCAAGTTTCGTAGAGTATAGTCAACTAACTCAGCAATCTCACGACAAGGGGAGATCAAAAGTGAGAACCCAACCCAGAACAAACATACTGTACAGAGCGGTAGTATAACACTTCATGTCTACTTCGAAAGAGGATGGACCTGCTTGCGGATATTAAGCACTCATAATCTGCGTTTTTGGGGAATCATTCCACCAAAATTCCCCGAAGTTTGTTTCAAGAAAAAAATAATCTAAAAAGTCATAACTGAAATCAAACCATAGGCGAAATGTACATGGTGCATCTTACCAAACATAATCTATCCCGATTTTATTTACGCTGAGAGATGCACTTATTTAAGAAAATGGTTGATTTTGCTGCTTATTCAAACCTATAGCAATACAAAAACTTCCTCTTTAGTTTCACAGGAACAGAAACAAGCTAGATAAAAACATAGTCTGAAGCTCTGAGTCTCTTGTAAATCATGCACGCTGCTTCTCGCGAAACTTGAGCGTATTAATCTCTCTCATGCTATACAATGCTATTAACTCAG